AAGGTATCTCCCATAGAGCTTGGGATACCTGTGTGGATAAACGAGAACTTTGTAAATTATATGTATACTTCACTAAAATTGACTATCCGATTAGCCATCTGGAAATTAATCCCATTCTTTTGAGACCGCTAGCTTATTTTTGATCATAATTCTGAAATAAACCATAACAGTTAATAATCCTTCGTTTATCCTACCAAATACAACAAAATAATGGTCACGGAGTGAGATGAGCAAATTAAACTTTTACACTTGAGCAAATTTGGGACCCTTTTACGTGGCAACATGGAAGTAAGAATTGATTATCATCATTGTTATAGAGAATATGCATTCTTGTGCTCTTTCGTATCGTGTATGGAAAGAGAAGTTACAGTATAACATACACTGTAGCTTCATACATGTACACTGGAATGAACTTAGCACACAGGGTCTCTGTTCTTCCCGTTATTTATCTTCATAAAAATGCGAAGGAGAGAGACCCTAAAATCTAGGCATACCATACGACAACCAGAGTGACTGCTTTTGACTTATTTTTAGTTTGCCTACATCCACGTATAAAGGTAAGAGCACACTAAGCGACAACTTGCAGCAACATGTCGCGCCGATAAGTGGCAGCAACGAATCATTTTGTGTGCTGCGCAACTTGTTGCCCCAACTTGTCACCCGACCTGTAGTGTGTACCAACTTTACATGAATTCAATTACAATCTAGAAGGCCCTTACCTAATAAACAGACTAAGAACATAGAAGATGGGATTGTGCACAATAGGAGCAATACCCGTATATAAACTATGTATCTGACTTATATTATAATCTTAAACTTAAAATCACCATGACTTGGGTCAAATAATATTAAATTTTAAACTTTTTTCAAAGAAAGGAATGTAACCATTAAAATGTATGCAAAATTAACCTTGCAAGTACGTTTGAATCAAACGTGACGTTCTTAATGTTATTGTGATTAAAATAAATTAAATTGTTTTGGGTGGACTATTTGTCTCTTAATAAGTTGGTAAAGTTAGACAGAATTGTTTTTTGCAGGTGTATAAAACAGACAGTCAGCTCTTCTCAAACTCCCGACCACGCCTTATTACGAACACCTTTTTTGAAAATCCTCATTAACAAAAACTGCTAAAAATAACTAATAATTCGCAGCAGCCAATCGTGGTTCAGAGAATATCTGTAACAGCCGTCGACCAAAATCCTCGGAGACCCAGAAGCTCTTCCGCCCTTCCCATTAACCCTTTAAAACCCCAATATCCACATACAATTCTCCCAACTATTCTCTACACGTTTTCTAAAGGAAATGGTTGACAGAAACAGATAAAAGATCAAAACATTCTACCTTTAGTGATCATTTTATTAATTCTCATAACCTTTTCTCTTGATAATGTAATGATATTGTTAGGAAAAATTGATGTTTGTCAAGGATTAACTGTCATGAGTCAGTCCTGAGGATGGATTTGGCTGTAGATTAATGGACTAGTAACATTATGGCTGCCCACTCCAATCCCAGCTTCCATCTCAACACTATCAACTAACTAGCAATGTGCTAATACTGTATAACATCTGATGATCAAATGGATAATAAAATTAATTTTTTAATAAATAATATATTCTTCTTTAAAGTTCTTAATAAGTTAATAAATAGGAATGAAATTAACATTTAAATAAATTATTTCTGTCAATATATTAGTTGGTTTCCTGAATAAATATTACTCTCAGCCACAGTATTATGTTGATCAAGGCTAATTTGCACAAGCCATAAATTCGAATTAAAGTGACTGTAACATAAATAGTTGCATAATTCATTACCGGACTAGTACTTTACAACCATTCTAGATTGTTAAAACTATGTGATTAACAACTTACTAGATTGGTGTAGTTGGGTTATCTACATTCAACAGACTGTAATTCGGACAATTTGGTTTTAAAATAGTAGTAATCTGAATTTATAAAATACGTCACTTTGAGGTCTCAAACATTGTTGCTCATTACTTTACTTTAAAAAGTGAACTTATGATCTTCGCTTCAGTTAATGTGCAACACCTACAAGAGTTCTAGGGTTTATCTATATGTAAACCCTGCAGTTTTGACACCTATTCAAAGAAACAACATAATTGGTGTAAGTGTTCGTATTAGCATGCATTACCCTTTGTTTCAGTGATTCATGCACCCTGAAGGCAGTCTATTACCAAGAGTTTGTGATTATTTAAGACAGAAAATTGAAACAAATACTGCAAACTTTAAGTCGACTGTTTTTTTTTTCTGAAATTTAAATAACACTAGCTACATGTACAGTAAGATTCAAAATATAAATGCATGTCAACAGTCACTTGCGTCTTGATTCTCAAAACTTTCAAGAAAGATTTATAAGTAAATTTGATGCCTTAAGTGAGAAAAAATACCATTTTTGTCCTTTAAGGTCCAACTATTGGCAAACTTGGCGATTCGCATTGGTGTTCCCATTTTTTTACAGGTTTTGTGAGGGTTGAGGACATTATTTAGTCTTTGTGTATATATTTCATAAACAAAGGGCCCTGACAATATAAAAAACATCACACTATTTACAAAAAATTTTGAAAACAAAAACAACTTTCTTGTTCATGGTGTTTGCAAAACCTAACAGTTGCAGAACTGCACTTGTTTTTGATATGCACAAAAATAAGTGTAGTGTGGTGGGGATGGGGACCCGTCTTTTTTTAGGAAAGATTTATATTTATGCAATCAAGTAAATGTGTGAACAAACTTAGGATAGTCCTCATACTAGACTGGGCTGTAAGATAACAAACATGAGATCGTAATTTGGCATTTTGTTTTCACATAAACTCAAATACAAAGCATTTTATGTGTGACTGGAAGTATTTTCAGTAAGTGTGAATAATGCTTTTGTGTGAGCAGCTATTGTTTTTGTGTTGTGAAATAATTTTTTTTTTTTTTTATCTAAACCCTTTCAAATCATGAAATCAACAAAGGTTCTAGATTCGCTCTTCTCGAGATTTAAGTTGTTTCCATTTAGAGATGAGAGTTTCAAGTTTTGAGGATCAAGTCAACAAGATGGTCACCTTAAATAAATAATGAATGGTACTGTACAAGGCTACTTAATTAAGGGTTTTTATCTGTCAAAACAGATGGCACTTGGTACCCTTTCACTAATACAAGTAGCGGCAATATGCATGAGTGCTAACACTTTCAAATTAAGTAAAACACAAGAAGATAAACCCACCTATTTCTACCACATTCCCACCTGCATGAAAAATCAGCGACAACCCTTAGTAAAAATTTGGAAACTTCTTTTCATAGGTGCAGCTTTGCTTTCAATTGCACCCATTTATAATGAACTTATAAATAGAATCTTTTCATAAATGACTTCTGATCTTACCCATTCCCAAACATGAAAAGAAAATTACACTTTTTTAAAACACTTTTTGGAGAAAGATAACTGAAAATCTTCTACCGAAGAAGATTATCCATTCTAATGTTTTTATCTCTGAGTATTTCCATTTGGGAACAAAGAAGGAAAACAATTTGACAATTTTCGGCCGTGTGAGACAAAATAGACTTGTGATTCTTTTCTCTAATAATCAGCCTTGCACGCTTAATATATTATGTCACGTATATCTTCAGAGTAAAACACGTTGCTTTTACCTATAAATATAATGTACCTTTCTTATGCATAATTATCATCTGGAGAATGAAAATAATCATAAATTATTGCCCCACAAGTTTATCCTGGAAAACAGCTACAGGTAATAAAGAATAATATTGTAATAAATACTTAATATATAATTATAATAAATAAATCCAGAAAGGAGATTTGCTATCTCTAACCCTGGAAGACCCCTGTGATCTAAATTTGAAGACTGACATTACGTCGTAACTTTGCTTTTCAGAGTAACACTATAATTATTTGATCCCACTTAATTTTGAACACGCACAATATTCAGTCACAATCTTCGAATACTTACTTAAACGATGTGAATAAATCGTTACACAAACAAAAATAATACAAACATAAATGTATTCACAAAAAAAATCTGCTAAGTCGGTATAGGTTTTTAAAGCTTGAAGAAACTCTAGAGGCAATCAACATTGTTATATTCCTAGACTTTCACTCAACTAAACAGGGACTGCCATTGGTTGATTCTTGGTCACGTGGCCTTGACTAAAAACAAATGTATCCCGATCGTGATACATCAAACAATGTATCCCGCTCGGGATCGGGAAACCAGTTAGTTTTGTTTTCCCTCGAGTCCTGATGTTTCCCTCGACTTCGTCTCGGGAAACATCAGGACTCTCGGGAAAACAAAACTAACTGTTTCCCTTGGGACCTGACATTAAGTGTATAATATTATTCAAATCAATACATGTAACACCAACATCATTACCTCAGTTACATGGTTTCTGAGGTGACTGCGCATAACATGCAAACAGATTTATACTACGAGTACAAATCAGGGGTCAATGACAAGCACAAATTGTGCTACTGTAACAGTTATGAACAAGTGAACCAATTTGTTATCATCATCTTTATATGCCTCTGCTGCATATACCTGGTAACTGACGACAATTATGAATTTAGGAGGAAATCAAGTTTGCGATTGACTTGCACGGTTGTGATGAACCAATAGAAGCTTGGGTCTTGGAACAAACCTTGTTAGAGGGTGATTGGTCTCTGGACCAGCAAGTGTGAGAATCTCTTAGAGTCACTGTATAAGTGTACTAATAATTACTAATAAGTACTACTAATAATAAGATTTTATGTTAATAATAATTTTCATTTTACTTAATGTGATCTGTTTGAACTTTTGTGAGTCTTTACACACTAAAAACACTTTACGTCCATATAAGACCTGACAAATACAAACTAATGAGTTTGTGCGTGTTAGTAAATCTACTTGACTTCGAAATTTCCCCACTTGTGAACTTATCCTAAATTTAACCACTGAAGATTGTGCCCGGGGGCGGATCGAGACCTTCAGATAAGGGAAGGGGGGGGGGGAGATCCGCCGCTGGTTCCATACATTTCATTTGTGTGGAAGCTAAAAAATGCATATGTTTGTACACATATATGCATTTAACAACTTAAGTGGACTTGCATAAATTAATATACATGTATCGTTACGCAAGAAAAATCATACTAGAGAGAGGATTAACAATTCAACCTGCAGATAAATGAAAATACTAATAATACTTGACCAACACCCTTTACTGTGAAGACTCATTTGCAGAATATCCATCTATAAAACAGTAGACACCATGCACAGGATACAAGTCTCCTTAAGGTTTGCAGCCTACAAGAAACAAAATAAACATTGAATTTATCGACAAACAGTTAGTTGCTATGTTGTAAACACAGTCTTTTGCAACAGTGTGACAAATATGTAAGCAACAATGGAGATCATGCAAACATTTGCCTGTTTATCAGCACAGTTTCAGAATTTAAAAAGACTTTATTCTTTGGCATGTCACACTTCTCAATGTATATGTTACAGGTCCAAATTAAATTCAGGTTAAAATTTTTTAACTTAGGTTGATTCTCAATTTCCCAAACTCGGGGCTAGGAGACAAAGGAAACTGAGAATTAACCTAAGTTAAATGAGGTTTGTATTTCATACTGGGGCAATAACCCATTGAATTGGTTGGTTATTGCCTACATCTTCCAAATATTGTGTGCCCCAGCTGGTTAAGATGAATTAGCCAGGGAATTGGAGCCACTCAGAAACGGCAAAATATTTTGAACGAATCATAGTAATATTAATTTTTATTGCTGCAATCTTACAAGTGTCAGTATTAAGAAATGGGACACAACTTGACGTCAATTTTCAAACCAAAAATTGAAATTCTTGGTGTGCACTCACGTTAGAACAAGTCAAAATTCAAAGTTCAAAATTCATACACTGTATAATAAAATACAAAGAAGAGCCAGCTGTCTTTACTTAGAGAGATGTCCCTGCCTTTCGCACAATTGACTGAAAAGTGAATCAACATTGTTCTAATCACCAGTGAGAGTAAAATATAGTTGATAAGGATGTCAAGAAAAATGTTCAAAAGGAAGCTGTTAGCTCAATGTTCATGCAACATTTTTACATAATAAACAAAATCTTTCATCTTTTTTAATGTTGTTAAATAGAGTGTGGAAAGCCTCTCCTCACATTTAAAAGTGGCTACATACATGAGAATAAGACTTCACCAAAACATCAAAAGACACAATGGAATTGAGATTTCTGCAGATGCATTAAATGCACAAGGACAAACAGCACAGAGCATTCTACAGATCTTTTATGTTTAACCGGTACACTGTACTCTTTTTTAGTACAAAAACAGTATACAGCTGTATGTCAGTCCCTATATGTAAAGGGAACTTACTAGCCAGTGAACGATAGTAAAGGTTTTGATTAAACAAGTTTTTAATCCAGTCTTTTAGGAGAAACCAAGGTTGCCAAAGGAGATCAGTCTGTTCATTCTCTTGCAATATTTATCAATATTTCATGCAATATTTATCATCATTATTCATGTGAAATATAGTATTTCCCTGTTTCTGATTGGTTTTATTCCAATAGATAATTCTTCATAACCAGCTGGCTCTGTCCAAATTTGGAAGATGCTTAGATTATACTATCATTGATGCCCCTCAACCAAACGTCAATGATTACATCCTGCAAATCACATGTATATCCCCGCTCTTTGATCCGCCTAATTCTTCATACAAATGCAAAATATCCAGATTCAATATTATATTGTTAATTTATGTTAGACAAAACAGACCTAGAGTTTTACTCAAGGGAGGTGATCCATGCATATTAAATGTTTGGACACATTATTAAGTTATAACGGATATAAAGATACAAAATATGTATGTCCCTGAGTATTATGAGATCAAAACTTTCTTTCACAGCTCATAATAGTATATAATGCAGGTTTTAGCTACGATCAGACAATGACTAGAAATATTGACTGTTTCCTGACTGGCCGTAACAGGTGGGAGATACAAAAAATTGCCAGTAGAATGTCAAGCCATATTTCAGGTAACTACATACAAAAGCCACAGCACTCAAATTTATCCATTTTTCCTAAAATAAATAGAGTGTATAAATTGGTGTTCTTTCAGTCTCTTGTATGAGCTACAGTATAAAGGATTGCTGTACAAGTTGTTGCTGTTTTGCATGAAATTTTAAAAACAATATTCACCAATTAAGTAATATGTAAGTTTGAAATTCAGAATTTCAATATTGAAATGTGAAAAAAAGAAACACTCTTTAATTTTAAATTCAGAAGATACAAATAGCTTTGGGTGACATGAACAATCCAAAATGACAATCTGGTATTGCAAAAAAATCAGTATTATTGACCAAATGCAAATACTGCACCATTCCTCTTCATGCAATCAGTTGCTATGGTCACATTTTTGGTTTCTTTGACTAATGATTTCAATGCTGCATAGAGTGAAAAAGATCAATTCCAAGGTAGATTGTGCGAGGTGTGCTTACTTGCAGCAGGGGAGCCCTTAAACTTTCCAAACAAACAACATCACTATTTCACCAACCATGAAAAACTAATTGCCACCTTCATGATATTCAGTTCTTAACACACTGAGAGATGAATTGACCCAGGTTGGTAGGTGACCATTTCTACGATTTCAAAACTCAATTCTCACCTTGTTTTCTAAGTTGAAGAAAGTGATCTCAGCTGACCTTCATACTCGCTTTTTCGTGACAACTTCTTAAGCTGATCACAGTCCAAGTTTACACCTTGCCGCTGTTTCTCTTCCAAGCCAGTTATCTCTGTCAACTTCTTTCTAATTTTACGAATCTGCTTATCATTTTCACTCTTCTTGAGGGCCTCCTGGGCAGTTGAACAGAAATTCTCCTGTCCATTCTCTTTTGCACTTCCACACAGAGGTTTGTCTGGGACGTCACCAATGTCCACAAACTGCTGTTGACAGTCAATCTCATCCAACTTTCCACCATTTTGCATGTGTTGGTCTGGATTTTCACATCCATTTGTTAAGCATGTAGTCTGGGTTTGTGAAGTGTCATTACGATTCGCTACACCATTCATTTTGTTCAGAAAGCAGTCACTGCTTTCACAAAAGCCATTCTCTGACTGGTTATAACCATTCATGACCGTTCCATTGTGGTTTTCATGGTTATGGGAGTTGTAGTGTTTGTGGTTATTAAAACGGGACGAGTAGGTATTGTAGTGATTTCTGCGTCGATAACAAGGACGGTGATAGTTGGGTCTTGCTGCCGGGTACACGTTAAAGTCGTATCCCTGACCAGGTGACTGAATAAACCCTCCCGGAGCAGGGGATTGGTTATGGAAGCTGTATGATCCTGTGTAAACACCTGGAATCATGTTATAAGAGTTGGCAAAAGGTATAAATGCAGGCTGTACCCCGGGGCCATGGTAGCCATTATGGGTTTGATATTGTGCCGGGACAAAGCTGTACCCTGGTGGCCACTGTTGCACGTTGTATGGCTGACTTACCAATTGATATCTGGCGTCTTGCACCTGCATACCATTTCGAGGTTGACCAATCAACTTGAGAAAATCTTCTCTTAGATCTTTACTGGGTATATATTTCGTATAATCAAATCGCTCTTCCTCATCAGTTCCAATGGAGCTGTTAGTTCCCGAAGAAGCCGTGTCACTTTCCGATTGTTCTAATTGTTTTTCAATTGATATATTGTGGTTGGGCGATTTCAATTCTTCTATGGGTAAGACTAAATCGTTTTCCCTCATATCATCACAACAGCCGTCTTTTAATCCGTCCCGCGCTTGTTGTTTATCATCATTTGGCGCCAACTCAGAATCGCTGATCATAGTATCTTCATCTGTTTCTTCAGTGGAGGAATCGCAATTTCTTATGCCGCCTACTAAATCAAGCCCACTCTCGCATCCGGTCGTAGTCGTTTCGCATGACGTTAAACTGAAAGAAGTTCTTGATGAAAAACTTTCGAATAATCCCTTTGCCGGGTTTTCCCCATCTTCGTCGCATTTGTTACTTCCCTTGTGGTTCATTTCGTTCTCTGGTGGCTTGTCATGGCAAACTAATTTGTGATATTCCATTTCTGGGGCAGCAATCGCATGTTTGTCGTTGAATGGACATATGGCCTTTTCACTGATCGAATGCTTCTCTCTACATTCAATCAAATGGCGTCCCATTCGGGCGATGGTTAAGCTGTGAGTGGTATCGTATGGGCAAGTAAACAATTGATCCGCTTCTTCCAATTCTTGATCGCTTTCGGACATTTTCTTTCTTCGGTTAATGTCCCCAGAGACATAAACTCCGACCAAGCTTATAGTCAGCTGTTCCCTAACAAAATCATTCAGCCTGTGACTTGGTAATCTTTTATTTGTTAGGTCCGCGCATGCGAATAACAAACCACCTGCTTTTTCTGGGAAGCGAAGAAGTTGGCAAGCAATGCGTGCACAATCTTAGGCTAATCTTGATAACGCATCGTGTACGTAAGTAGTTCATACAAGTAGTCCTCCCTCGCAACTGTACAACAGTTATCGTGGATATACCTAAAAAATAGTCTTGAACTCCAAATAAAACAATTAAAAGTATTAGAATTTAAAATAATGGTTTGTTGTCAAGAAAATCACCGCTAAGTGGAAATTGACCTAAGCCCTCTTTATTTAGTGATCTTTTACATGAAAAGTATTTTGACAAGTGCGCCGTGACCATTTTTCTGTGAAAAGAATTGGCCCACGCTATTGCCTTTTTTTTAACTTAGCGATGTGGATGTTTTTCACTGCTGAGGAATAATGTTTTTTGGTAAGTGCCGGGAGCACATATCCTGCAAGTGCACAGTAATTTCCTGTATAAGGAATTAACGACTCACATTTGGTGTTTATTTTTCGTTGTTGTTATTTTTGCTCCCACTTCTTTTTTATAACGGTCAATGGCGCGCAATTATTACATAACCTTTAAGTTTGCTTAAGGGCAACGTTCTCAAAGACTAGTTGTTAAATCTCTGTCTGAAACATCTAGTATTTAAGGTTTTTTTCGCCGCGGTTTTTAGCAAGCACGAAGTCTTTCGCACCGCTGACATTGGCGTGGTTGGCATAACGCTGCGAATGTCAACGTTGCAAACGACTTGTACACCGCTAAAAACCACTGCGGAAAGAAATCTCTACAACAAAGTAAAACGCGTTAGGCCCGGTTCAGACGCCGAACTTTTCATGAGCCGAACCTACTTGGAATTAGGGCCGACCCAAATTATTAAGAGCGGCTGAATTAATTCAGACGCCGATCTTGATTGCAGCCGAACTAAGTTCAAAAGGCGAAAAATGTTCATTTCAGTCAAACTGCTTACAAAATACGTTATAATAATTTATGCATTAGGTTCGGTACATGAAAAGTTCGGCGTCTGAATCAAAGCCGTTCGAAAGTCACTCCAAAGGCGAAATTCCCGGCCGGGATTTCTTTCAGCAGTGGTTTTTAGCGTGTACGAAGATGTTTGAGAGGTTGACATTCGCAGAGTTATGCTAACCACGCAAATGTCAGCCGTTCGAAAGACTTCGTGCGTGCTAAAAAACGAGGCGAAAAGAACGGCTGAGCTGTTCCAAATTGAAACAAGCGTTCCTAATTGAATCAGACATTTTCATGTACTTAATTAAATCCATTAGGTTCGGTTCATGAAAAGTTCGGCGTCTGAACCGGGCCTTACTCTTCGTTTTATGTTGATGTTTATCTTGCTTAAAATTGTATTCACGCTCAAGTTTCACGCTTTCAATTAGGCGTACGCAAGTATAATGTTTTATACAATGGTTTACAATTTTGGTGAGGGTGCAGATGCAGTAGGTGAGAGCACCAGTCTCCTACCAACGTGGCCCGGGTTTGTTGTTGGTTCTCTCCCTTGCTCCGAGAGCTTTTTCTCCGAGAACTCTGGTTTTCCCCTCTCCCCAAAAATAAACACCTCCTAATTCCAATTCGATCTGAAACGCCCGGATACAGTTTAAATGAGAACTCCCCAGGAAGTGATTCGTGGGTAAACAAATCACAGTTTACAAATTATGAGATTAAAAAGTTTATCCTGGAATTATTTTAATCTTTAAAACGTGTTTTTCGTTAGCCTAGATTTAATAAGAGCCTGGATCAAATGTAAAAACGATTCTATCAGTCTTAACATCTCCGACTCATAAAAATGCACGATCCGAGCATTACATAACATGATGAAACAAGTTCAACCAATTACACCGTTGAGCGTCAAAAAAATCTTAAGGACTGCATTGCTTCCCGTTAAACTTATGCTAATTTATTTTTGTCATGGAACGGAAGATGTTGGCTATGTTAAAGATCGTCTGCAACTTACTCTCAGTTACAAATAAAACAAGAGGAAATGATCAATCTTTTTCACCAAAACTGACTGAATTAATACATATATTCAGACGTTTCCCTGTCCTTGTGTTAAACACCTTATTTTTTTTTTTTAATTTTTAAGCTGTTTCTGGATAGAATTGCCCATGTATCAGGGCGAGGGAAGTTTTTTTAATAATTATTAACTCATACCATGAACAGTTGCGCACAGGGTAACCATTTCCTTGTTTACAATAGCCTGCTGAAAATAGAAAATATTCCTGTCAACCGCGTTTTAACACCGTTTAAACCTGATTCCTTTTGCTATTTAGGCTTCCGTTTGACTAAAATCTGTTTTTTTTTTCTTTTGTTCCATAAATATGCCCAATTATTCAGTGGGCCACTTCAAAAGGGAACTTTTTAATTACTCTTTTTATCTCACTAAGACTTTCTGTTCATTATGTCGAAACCTCCTTTACCCTTTGTGTGTGTATGTAAGAGTCATTGGCCAGCTTGCTACATAAAATGCATTGTTGATTCTTTTATCTGTGTCTGTTCCTATTCTGTTTGTTATTCAGTTTATCTACACGTTGTCAAAATAATAATTATTATTATTTTATAATAATAATATTATTATTACCATTAAAATTATTGATAATAATAATAATAATAATAATAATATTATTATTATTATTATCAATGCACCGACAGTAATGAAAATGGAAGTGAGTTAATAACGCTTTGATCAAGGGGAAGAAAACACAAACTAAACACACATAACAGTAAACTTAATTGAATACTCGCTACAAGAAGAAACGTAACAAAAAGAACGTTCATACGGCCTCATCCAGGCATGTGCTTGGTTTTCTGGATTTCACAAGTTTCAACGGAGTCGACGAGGTGTAATCAAAAGCTCAGAGCGTTACGATCATGGCAATAATAAAAAAGAATGAGTCCTTAGCAGAGTTTCTATTGACTCAGATTGTAAGTGACGAATTCTTTAGTAGAAATGACAGATAGCGGGAGTCGCAAGAGAAACCTGTGCAATGAGACTAATGTATGTACAAAACTACAAAACACGATTTAAGAAGAAGGGAGGAATGGGTAAAACAGTCCGCCGTCATCTGTTACACTCATTTAGTAGCACGTATCCTGGGTGTAGATTTAGTTGCTGACTAATGGTCGACATTTCAGTTTGATTTTTAGAGCAACGGCTATTACAACTGTTTAAATATGGACTGCAATGAGAATCGCAAGGACATTCAGTAATATTATGGAGGCTGCTAATGCTATTCAGCAAGAAAATTCAACTACTTTTAAAACAAGCTTTCTAGTAACTCCCTCTTCAAATATCGTCATAGAAAGACAGATTCCGTAAGATCGGAAACTGGCAGAATTTGAAGACGAAGACGAACCAGATACAGGAGCCGAGACACAGATGTTTCCCACGTATCTAGCAGGATTTTTCGGAAATAAAACTACTCAAAATTCGCGTTAGGAAAAGACAAGTTTGTTTGAACCTTTGATTTTTATTATTGGGCTACCTGTGGCTCTCCTGCAAAATTTAAAAATCTTTGGTGTCGAATTTTCTTATGTTCCACTCAACGGATTTTTGCGGATTTTTGGTACATTGTTATGCAGCCGTCCTACAATGAGCTTCCGCTGAGAAGCCATTATGGCGGAGGTCTATCGCTTAAGCAAAATGGATATGTGCCAGCGAGAAGTTAAGTCAGAAAGTGGTGAAGGAAAAAAACACAAGGCGGTTGCCTCGTGGTAAATCATGTGCTGATAACATTTCTTGTAACTTTAAATCACTCTGACTGAAATGAAAGAGAGATAACCCCTGTAATGTCAAATTCCTGGTACTGCTGGAGTTCAATTAGAAAACATTCCACTGTTTAATAGTCCATCGTGAGTGAACTGTTTCAAATTTGCTTCGGAGAGAGTGCGAAAGTGAGAATACCTCAGTACAACGTCTACTTGTATTTAAACGTGAAAAGTACTACCACGCCCAAAATATAAGCTGACTTTTGATATCTTTTTATAAGAAAGTTTTCAAGGGAACGATTTCTTATTTCATTGTGACCTGGTCGACCGAGTTCGCCCACTCTTTTCCGTAAGCTGTATTAGCATGATTAATATTCAAAATCTATGCTAAGTAGACCAAAGAGCTTCGCGATTGGTTGGCTTCAAAACTTTTCCAATTTGTTATCTATAGCGGAAACAACAAGCTATTAAATCATAATACAGATGTCCGCTCCATTTCCAACGAGGACAGCTTTGGAACTGAAGATGTGAGCAGTAGTTTTAAGGGCAGACAGCTTGAGGTAGTCCAACTTTAATCTTGCTGACATTCTGGGCTTTTAATTATTGTTAGCAGTTTTTATAGTTATACATAAGACGGGTGTTATGGGATCTTTGCCGTCCAGTACGCTGTTTAATGTTACTCCAACGTTTCTTTAGTTTAAAAAATAATCAATCTTCTACTTGAGGTATTCTCTACAAAAAGCCTTTCATTAGTGAAGACCTGTAATTTTTTATATGTTATAAAAAGATAAAATTTACTTGTACTTATCTTAAGCTTTAAAAATTTGTCGAACGATGTAGCTAATTAAGAATTCATTTCATGTAAAAAAATTAATTTGCTTTTTTTTTTCTGTTTCCCTCTCAACTTTCATTTTTTTTATTTTCCGAGGAAACGAAGCAGTCAATCTTCTTAGTTCGTTTAGATAGCTCTTTAATTTACCAAGACAAAACACCTTATCAAACCTTCCATGAAAGCTTTGGGATTCTTATTTCTTAATGCTTTGACAAAATTTTAAAAATATTTTAAGCTCTAAGAAAATATCGCGAACAACTCAACTTATTAAGAATTTATATGTTGCAAAAACAATGAAAATCTTTTTTGTCTTTTCCCTAGTTTGCGGACTTTCATCATCTTGTATCTTCAAAATTATATTAGAACATTTAGTAGTTCAGAAAATTCTTCTTTGTCCCTTTAATTAATATCACCAGTTTATCAAGTCGGTCTCGGTAGTTGTCCACTGACACATATGGCTCCACGTGAAACGACATAGGCAGTGAATATATTCATAACGACCTGAAACATCTACAGGATCTCAGGTCCACTGTAACTCATGAATAGAAACATATCTATTGGTTCAATAGTTGTTAAGCAGCCTATTGAAATTAGGCTATGAAAGCAAAAATTTTCAAAATCTTCAGTGAGGGGACAAAAAGTAAGGAAATTAAGAAAGGAAACGTTTTCTTCGGAACCAATTCGTTCATGCCATGATTAATAAAATATATTGTTGAAGAAATTTTTATGTCTTACAATTAAATTAAATCATTTTGAGAATGGATTGGTATCTCGTCAACTCATTAGCAGCTCAAGCCTGTTACCTATTTTTAAACAAACTAAATGTCACACACTGAAATGAGGAGCAAATTTTAGTCTATTTCGTTTACGTTTAACCTCCGTTACATTGCTCTGTACAATGGGAAGCGATACATGATATTATAAAAATAAAAATGGTGTTTAAAAGAAAACGAGATGTTGACTGAAGACCCATGTGTGCTGCGTCCAGAAAGCCTCGAAATACTCGAGAGGAAAGGCAACGGAAATTAAAGGATAACATGTTAAAACGAAACAAACTGTTCATGCAGGCTACATAGTATTTACAGGGTTGTACTTGAATGGCGTACACATGCAAAATTATATATCTATATCGTTACGGTTCAGTTTGGAAGTGATCTCGTTTAACATTGAGTTATTTTGACTGGTTCGTCCTTGAAATCTCGATACTCTCACATTCTCAAGTTATCTAGCTGCAGCTCTTATCCTTCCTGCATTTACAAAAGACTCATGTGCGGTTTTTTGTTTTTTGTTCTTTTTGTTTTTTTTTCAGGTCCATTTGTTTTTAAGACGGTTACTTTCGCCAGTTCTCTTTCTTTTTCTTTATCACGAACTTGTCATTAAGATTTAGTGGGGTACAAAGGAAAACTTAATGACAATAATCAATCTAACAGGAATACCAAAGCAACTGAGTTACCGCCGTAAATGAAGAGAAGTTACATTGCAGCAATGGTTTACATATGGTATTCGTAGACTCGAACTCAGTCTGCTTGGCGAGAAAGACCTGGAATCTGGATACGCCGAGACACTAAAATATTCTTGTGGGCGTTCGAAATCTATTTGATAAAATCACTGCGTGACAATGTAATTTGGACGATGTATTACTGTTCGCGCAAAGATAAGACACGCAAGCTTATTCCTGACTGTCCCTGACTCTCGCCAAACAGAATATGAGTAACTTCACCTGGGCTTGAGTCACTGGTATGCGCGCAAACTGCAAGTTGCATTTATATTGCACATGTGCTGTAGGCACGACTCTTTTGCATAACAACATTTTATTTGGATTTCCCCTTAGGTCTTCAGACAGCTAGCTGACAGCTACCAAATCTAAAGACCATCAGGAACCAGCTTTATGAAAACAATTTGCAATGGTTCTCCCTGGAGGTAAGAATTTCCTTTATCGTCTGAGTAGGCAGTACGAAAAACAGTTTGCAGAACGATTCAATGAAACCTTGCCTTTGAGACTATACGTCCCCCCTATTATTACATGCATGGCAGTAAAGAGAGAAAAAAAAAATCGCTTACCACAAAGAGGAAGATCAGTCCATTTTTCCCTAAACCCAATCTAGAACTGGCTATTGAAAGTTCCCCCAGACTTGGTCTGATGCACTGTCTGGCCAGCCTGTTAGTAAACAGACCCTAATCAAATGCCTTAACAGTATTATAATCATGTCAATAGTTCTCAGGAAATTCATTGGATCAAATTTTGGGTAGAAAAAGTCGGTTAATAACATCAAACAGCGACAAAAAGGACAATTAATCCTGATTTGTTCACCAGTCAAAGCATGCACGCACATAGCCCCAGGCACTTTAGGTATAGCTTTAACACTTCGACTAATCATTTCTAAAAACAGGAAGGTCAATAAATACTGGAAGTGGATAAATAACTAACAAACAAATAAATAAATAGATAGATAACTAAATAATAGGTTAGTGAGCCGTGAGCCGAGCAATAGTAATAATTTGCGCCTGTAAATTATTTCGCGTTATACGACGTGAAATAATCATTTTTCAGTTTTCTTTTTATCTGGCGTCGCCACAGTTGCAGCGTTACTGTATCTAGTAACGAGAATAACACTGTCAAAACACTGCGACGAATCTGTTGACCAATCCAGGAAATACCATAACATACCATAATGCTCTTTGTTTGTCACCCCAAATTTTGCATAAGCATTGTTTTCAGTTTCTCTTGGGGCCATTTTAACTCCCAAGAGAAACTGAAGACAACGCTTATTTTGGAGTGACAAACAAAGAGCACTATGGTATGTTATGGTATTTCTGGAGCGGTCAATTGTGTCTTTCGCTTGGTAAGCGCTGTATACAGTGCAGTCTAAGGACCTGTTTACATGGAGTGGGGGACCCCAGTCTAGTGGGGTTGGTTTCTTTTGTTTTCACGCTCTGGGCGACACAAAACAAAAGAAACTTACCCCACTAGACCGGGGTCCCCCACTCCATGTAAACAGGGTCTAATTATATTCAACGACTCAAGTAGAACTCCCACTGGTGCCAACGTTTGTTTTGGGGACAATATGGAAAGAAAGGAATGAACTAAATTTTAACAGTCGTTTCCAATCGGACTCTTCCACGTGTTTTTCGACTTTTCCGTCAACAACGTTGGAAAGAACACCTTAAAGGAGTGATATGTGGAAAACTAATTCAGATATATCTCCGGATCTGAGGCCCCGTCCACACTAATACCATGAGCGTTTTTTATTGAAAACGCATCGATTTGAAAACGCTTTTGAAAGTGGATCAAAATGATAACGCATACATGTCGTATTAGTGTAAACGGTTGAAAATATCGCAGGCGCGTGTGTTTTAGCATGTGCGTAGAGTTCAACTTACGTCAAAACATGCATTCTATCGTTTTCGAATGTTTTAGTGCGGACATTCGAAGACGTATCAAAACGATAGTCTGGACGCGAATCGATCGATGCGTTTTCGTTGACAACGAAAACGCATCCTTTTGAAAACGCATTATTGTGGAGAGGGTTTCCACAGGTATGCGTTTTGTTGTCATCGAAAACGCATCTATCGATTCGCGTCCACACTACCGTTTTGATGCGTTTTCGACTGTCCGCACTAAAACGTTCGAAAACGCTAGAATTGCACGTATAAACACACGCGTCTATGATGCTTTCCGTCATCATTTCCATTTTGATGTGTTTTAGACCGTTTTTGATCGTTCACACTAATAAGATATGTATGAGTTTTCATTTTGATCCATGCACTTTCAAGAGCGTATTCAAATCGATGCGTTTTCGATGAAAATGAATCTGAATGTATGCATTTTCAAACGAAAACGCATTAGCATGGACGGGGCCTGAGTAGACGTGTCTGAGGGAAAGAGCGAAATCTCCTCTCTTTTGGAAGACCCGATATGAAGGCCACGCAAGGTCTAGCCTGCGTTGCACGGCGGCGGTTTTTTAAAATAATTATAACCGGCGCCTTCTACTTAGGCTACGCAAAGTCGCAAAATTTGAAAGACGTTTGTGTGGTGGGGGTCCAGTTAGTGCTTCCCAACAAACAAACGACTGTAAATGTGGCCATCATTGGAGCAATAAGTCTTCGCTTGCTTTGGACGAATCTCCTTTAAATTTGGGAAGCTTGCTACTTTAAAGGCGCTTTTTCCGGCAGTGTTAATGGAAATTCGCCCACTGGTCTTACACAAAACTTGAAAAAAACGTGAAAGGGTATGATAAAGAGTGCTCGCTTTTAAAGGATTCGCTATATTTTTCTATACCTAACGCAAATTAAAGGCTCAATATGTTAGTTTAAGTTGTTGACTACAGCCCGCTTGCTGCTGTGTAGAGTTACATCTAGAGTAAATAAGACGGTTGTCACGGGCTTTGCTTAAGTTTCGTAGATGCGCTGTATCTCGTGTTAATAAGAAAGGAAAAAAGAATGTGTATGATTACACCCTATCAAAGGTTATGGAGTAAAATGTTTCAGTTCTTTTTTTTAAGCGTAAGTATCTGAAAAAATAGTAGCATGCATTGCAGAAAGAGAGCTGGAACAGAAAACTAGGATGTCTGACGAGAAACGGCCCTGCCTGTTTTCATTTGAGTTTACGATTTGACTGATAATGATATAAAACTTAGGAAACTGCGGTCTCGTGAGCGCATCATCATGAAATTTGAATTCATTATTGGTGTCGGGAAAACCTTTTCTTAGACTGTCCAATTATTGGAAATTCAGCAACGAAATTGAAATCAATTAGTAACAGTTAACTAAAAGCGAACTTCTTAACGTGGCTGAATAACGTCTTAGTTGATAAAAAAAGCTTGAAAGAAGCTCTGTTATCACCGCAGAATAACAAAAAGGTCTAGCAAAGCGTAAAAAAATTTGAGTTTGACAAGTTTAATCGTCAAATTTAATTCTTAAAGCTTTCGCCGGATTCTGAATGGTACGTATGGTGGATCCATTTGTGGCGTTATAGCGTAGCAGATATTGACCGGAAAAAATTCTTCGTTTTATTTGAATTCGCTGTAACCACCTGGCCTTGTTTTGATTCTTGTGATCGCGCTCTTGAAAATAAATAATTCATGATCATTGATCAAAGGACCTTATGACAGCGATTCCCAATCTTCTGTCGCGGGGCGTAACATTTTAGCAACATGTCGAAACCTTAACCGAATTTGTTTGCTGTTTCACCGTTTTCCGGAGGCCAATATGGCGTGTAAGTCTTCCCAGTAAATTTGCCAAACTTAGCTTAACTTTTTCTTGAAGCTATTGTCGCTTTTGGTTCAAGATTGTTTCATTAATTGTCATCTCTTGTTGTTGTTTCAGTGCCAACCCCGGCTATCGTGTTTATGGCAGTCATTGGCGGCTGTTGCCTTCTTCTACTGGTTTTATATCAGTGTTTAAAGGCCGGTATGTTTTTTAAAACCGAGCCACCGGCTGACTCGCCAGATGGAGAGAAAGGTGGATACGCGGAACTCGGCGAAGCGTATGGCACCGAAACGGATGATGATTACGTCGGGCCATCTTCGAAAGCAACAAGCCGAAGAAGTAGCTTTAATACAAGTGGGAGTAAGTCGGATGGCGAGCTGGCGCTTGGTGACAGCGCTTCTGTGTACGGTTATGGGAAATACTCCGATGGGGAGTACAGTCCTGCTAACGCAAGACGTGCTGTCTCAGCTTATGGGGAAGCGATTGACATCGGCCAGGAGGAATTTCTGTCAATTGCTGGAAGGCTGCAAGTATCGGCAAGTTATGCGCCAACAGCAGAAAAGTTGGCGGTGACTGTGCTCCGGGCAGAGGATGTTCCTACAAAGCACCGAGGAGGTGCCGCTACTGTTCAAGTTCGTGTCGTACTTCTCCCGTCAAAAAAACAACGCTTCAAAACAAAAGCAAAACCAGCTACGAATCCGAACTTTCACGAGACGTTTACATTCAGTCGAGTTCCTCAAAGCGATTTGCATGAAAGTGGCCTGAGGTTTAGATTGTATGGTCACGAAAAACTTACACGAGATAAACTGCTAGGAGAAATGACAGTTAGTCTAACAGAGTTTGACTTGGAAGGCGACGGAGAAGCGCTTTGGCGAACTCTTACCCCAAGAAATGCCCTAAGCGTAAGTACAATATTAAAACGTATATTTGCAATGTTTTACCCGTATCTTTTGCTCTTCTTTTTAAGAGAATTCTCCCAATAACGTTTGTTATTTCAGCTGATCAAAGGGTGTCTTTATTTTTCGTGACTGGTTAGTTGCCCAAGGGAAAAGTAAAAATAATACATATATGGTGGTTTAAGACGAAGTATTTTTCTCGTTCACTAATAATTCTTAATTTCATTTGGTTGACTCGATGATCAGTTCAGAATTTTTATTCGCTTCTTCCTTTAGTGGAAATTACGGGGTTTTTTCTCTTTCTGAACTACGTGGTTTGGTTGAACCGCGTAGCCGATATTTCTTGTTTTTCCTGTCAGTAGAGACACTTAAATTGTGGTCAGTATTATTTGAAGGAACACTCAGAACATTACTGTTAAATCACACTAATACTGGATAGTGAATAAGCTGTATGCAAATCTAGCTAGCGATTTAATCAAGTGGAACCAATGAAAAGGTGGCGTATTTTAAATATCCATTGTCCTTTGTTGGTGACACGCGTCTCCTACTAAAGCTAACAATATGAACAACGCTTAGTGCTTCGGGAGCGGAGATTCTTTTGGCAGAAAGGGACACAACAAAACTCATAATCGCTTACAAATGAGAATTTTTTGCAAACCGATCACTTTATCATGTTTATTGTAGACGTTGTACCAAAAACCTCGCGCTATAATTATTGGCCCACCATTAACTTAGTTTGGAACGCAAGAAACTCACTGATGCGATTAAATATTTTCTATAGCAATCTTCTGGATGCATGAAATGGTTTTCAATCCTCTTTCACGGATCAATGGAAATTTGTATCATTGTCATTATGCCTTTTTTCCTGAAGGGAAAACTGCGTAAAAAAGTTAAACATTCTCATTTCCTTTGAGGTAACCACGTCCCTCCTCAAGGTCTGATCATAATCCTGTTTTACAGAATACGAAGTTAGTATGCAAATCAGAACAAAAATATATGAATATATATATTTATTTTTTGTTGTTATGTCTGAGATATATAGGTACTATTTAATACCAAAGGATGCCTAGTCTGTTAGAGTGAAAAAGTGCTTTTATCAATAAACAACCGATACATTGATAATGAACTAAAGGTGTTTTTATTATTTTTCATGATCATATTTTTAAAAATTTGTTTCTTTATTGTAGGCTTCTGACTCAATGTATGATCTTTCTGACACTGGAAGCGTCAAAAGTTATGGGTCGTATGGTTCTGTTTCGTCTCTTGCTATGGCTCAAAGCGGTGCTCCAGAATTGTTGGTTTCCCTGTGTTATCAATCTCTTACAGGAAGGTTAACAGTAGAAGTGCTGAAAGCAAGCAACCTGAGAAATGTGTCCATGCAGCGTGCACCAGGTATGCGGAATGAATAATTAGTGAAACTTACCGTTACGTTCTAACTTGATTTGTCTTTTATTTCTCAAAAAGCAACAATATAAACAGTGTATTAATATCAACTTCTCTTCTCCTTTTGACCTTAATTTTTTTTGGCATGGAGGGTATAGCTTGAATGGAGATCCCGAGAAAGGTGTTAACTTAGAATACAGTTATCGCTCTAGACATGTAGTCTGCGAGGGACGCCACTGAAGAACACAACGCTTTAGTCTTTCAAAAACACGCAACTAAGCACTGTTTAGTTTTAAAGAAATCGGGAAGAACAAAACGGCGTCTGCTCTTAATACAACCCCACACAAACTTCACATGTGGTTAAATAAGCTGAGAATTCTTAAGCTGAAAAGGTCCGCTTTTTATGCCCCGCTCATTGCGTCCTAATCAACAAGGGGATACTCTGGATACTTTCCACGTTTGGATAATTTAAGTTTTCTCAGATTTAACTTGCTTGAAAAGGTTTTAAAAAATAAACTAAAATCATAGCATTAAAAATGGCGGATAGCTCGCGTGGGAGGAAAAAGGAAAGAACACTTGGCAATGACGTGGGACCTAAACCCACAACAACAGGAAAAAACATTGACAAGAAATGGGAGGCTTTTCATCTGCCATGCCTCCTGAAAATGGATCATTAATCTAAAATACTTCAGTGGTCAGTGACCAATTGCGCATGATCAAATCTATTATTTTTCAACTGCTCCATAGAAAACCTAAAGCCACTTCAGTGTTTATAATAATAATAACGTATGTAAGAATTTAAAAGCATCCTCTTCATTTACTCTTAGCTTATTGCACAGAAGAATCTGTAAATAGTAGGAATACTAGTTAAATAGAACATGAGACTGGGTTTTTTTTAAAGCATTAGTAAACACAGTAACTATGTGCTTAGGCAGTGTTCATATATAAACTTAGGCGTAACCGGAAATCCCGCGCTCAGTCTAATCTTAAACTTTTTCCGACTACTACATCAGAAACACAAACTCCTCCGCATTACGCAGTAAATCATAAGCACATTCATCTCAGAAACGTAACTGGCGCAATTTCTCATTCACTACTGACAGATTCATACGTGAAAGTGTCTTTATTGTCTCCATCTGGCAAGCAAGTTGCAAAAAGTAAGACCACCATTAGGAAGAGTATGGTCGACCCAGAGTACAATGAGAGTTTCATGTATGAAATATCCGAGAAAGATCTTCACATGGTCACTTTAACAATCGCTGTTATTGCGATATCAAAGACAAGGAAGAAAAAAGACATGATAGGATGGTTTTCACTTGGAAAAAATTATAGTGGCCAAGAGGAGATCAGGCACTGGAATGACATGATTCAAGAAAAAGAACAAAATATTAGTCGATGGCACGTTTTAGCTGATGCATAACCGCGTGTAAATGTAACTTTAAACTCAGTAAACATTTAAAAAGCAGTGAAAAAAATAGAATAAGTTAAGATTTGAATGGCAGTATTCGCATGAAGTAGAGGAATCGAATTTATGCAAGTAACTGCTATCATACCATATAAATGAATAATCTAAGGGTAAAAGGTTGACATTCCTAACTAAAATGATTGGATAAGATATTTTATGGTTTTTTTTTATTATCATTAAATTATACTTAGATAAAAATAAACGAATTGGAATTGCCATCTTAAAGGATTTTTGTTGCGATTGAAAGAAACGTATTCTCTGTTGTGTGTAACTAGGTTTGAACCATCCAATCACTTCACACTTTCAACTTTAACGTTCTACGCTTTAGCATTCATATCTCTTTGCTTCTTAAATATTTTATTTTTTGTAAATAATCAAAGTTTCGGAACCGCCTAGTGCTTTGCACCATACAATTAGACTAAGTACACAGACTCCAATCGCAGCAAAAATCGTACAGTAATCGTTCAAATGTAACAAACAAGTACTAAAAGCAAACTCTTGTAACAAGAGTCTACTGGTGAATGAATAGTTTAAGAGTGGATATCGTTATTATCTCCACCATTATCATCATCGTCGTCATCACCGCCACCTTCATCACCACCACCAGGCCATCCGCAACATCCTCCTCCTCATCATTTTTTGTTGTTGTTATTATAAGCTAACTGCTGCTGGTCAGGTACACTGAAAAACAATGAAAAATCATCCTGGAACGCGGGCGTTTCTCTTGCAAATAAATCGGCGTTATTAAAAGTGATCAATTAAAAATAAAGACACTCAGTAATAACAGCAGAGTTATATCAAGGTTTACTTTGTGTTCGTAGTAAGTGTAGAGGATCGTTTGGAAAACCAACACTCCTTGAATCAAATAATGAACTGTTTTTTTCAATAAAGATCAGACAATTCAGCTTTTAGACTTCTACTTGTTGTATGCACAATTCCCATGCACTTTTGTACCCAAATGAATGCCGGGACTGGTCTGTTCCAGCGGAATCCCCACTTCTGAATTGTATCAGATACTTATAAATTATCAACGAACCATGTGAACTGATCCGTTGTTGATCAAACACTGTAGTACACGGTCATGGAACAAAACCTGCCCAGTGAAACCTACAGAGTTGATAAAAGGAGGAGAGGAGTCAATCGTTTGGTTGGAATTGAAGACCGAACTGATGCGGGGAAGGAGAAACCTTTCCAGTCCTCAATTATTCGAGCTTTAGAATTTCAGCTAGACTTGACGAATAAGAAATACTAATGCACGCACACGAACAAAACATCTAGTCAAAATAGTCTAGATAACTGAAGCCCTACGCTCAAAGTCCTCAAACAATCTGTTATAAACCAAATTTCACTTCAGTAGAAAAGGGATTGAACTAAAAATGGAAATTGAACTCACCTGAATTAATGCCCTTTAAAGTGGTTACGTCACATAGATAATGCCGTTTTAGGCGGTCTATTCTGTGCTGACCCAACTTTTACTCGTTTCAATCCATCTCCATCCTTGTCACCGGCTGCAACAGACGACAGCAAACAGATTCAATCTATAATTAAAGTCTTAAAGATCAAAACTGGACCATTATTTTTGGGATACAATTAATGCGAGGACAGGTTTTAACAGTTTAAAAAGATAGCAACTAGCATGACATAGACCTTTAAATCTTTATTTCCAATGTGAACTGAGTTGACCCGTGGTGACGTGAATTATTGAATTATCACATGATGGTCAGCGTCTTCATTTGCAACTGGCACAGACTTACCCTCTGCTGCTTTTTTTTTCAGATACCTATGTTAAGGTGGCCATGTTTAATTCCATTGGGCAGCAACTATCTAAAAGCAAAACGTCCATACGACGTAGCATGTGTGACCCAGAGTATAACGAGAACTTTGTGTTCCAGATTATTGAATTTGAACTACCGAGCGTAAGCCTCATGTTTTCTGTCGTCAACATAAAGAAAATGAGACGGAAGGAGATAATAGGATGGTTCTCGATGGGACGAGATAACACTGGAGAGGATGAAGAAGCCCATTGGAAAGAAATGATCGAAGCCAAAGGACAGCCGAGAAAAAGATGGCATGTTCTTAGTGCTGTGGATTATTAAATTAGTTTATTTCTTCAAATTAAAAAGACTATTCGGCTACTTAACTGAGCAGTTAATTGCATATAAAGAGAAAACTACCCTAGACTTCTATTTATTTGTTCATTAACTACAGTGTTTAGTTTTTTGTTAAAGAACAATTATTTTTATTATTATTTAAAGTAAACTACTTTTTTATTTGTAGGAGTTCGTTCTAAAAGCTTTCATTCACATTTTTTGTATTTTTTTGGAGATTAAATGTGTTCTGAACTGTCGCAAATGGTAAGACATTGCTTGCAAAGAGAGCAATGGAGCGTTTGCACAAAAATAAAGCGGTGGTCTTGACAGAGCATGGCAGACCGGAGATACGTCACAAAGTAAATCATTCTATAACTTAATTAAGCCAGCAAGACGGCCATTATGACTGCATAACAACAGCGGTTCTAAATTGCACCCACTTATTAATGACCTGATCGCAAAATTAAGTTCCCTGAAT